TGGCTTAATCCCATCAAGGACGCGTCGGAGGTGTCCATCTTACCCAGAAAATCCTGGGGCCACTGCGAACAACCCGATCAGGGTGCACCGTTCCCGTCAGCTTTCCTATTGGAAGGAAGGCGCTTTTGGGTTCAAAGCAGCCAGGCATCACACCCCGACCATGCCCCAAGCACCGCCTGGCCCGAAATGTTTTTTCCACAAATGGGTTCCTTTCAACTTGGTTGCGGCTGACCCCTGTGCAAAAAGTGTGTTGTTGTTGGTTTTTTTCGGTGGGGTAGAAAACCCCTTGAGTTCTCCAAAAAGTTAAAGTCTAAAGATCCAACCCAATAGCAATCAAGTCAGGTGCTTCACCATGATGGTCCGTTCGCTCAGCGATCGGAGCCCGTCTGTTAGAACCCATTCAACGGGCCCCCTGACATCCAAAAACAAACTCCGTTACCTAAACGACTACTCCCAGCGGCTGAATGGGATATGCAACCACTTTTGGGGGGTGTCTTTCTTTGCCTTACCCCCCATCCACAAAAAATGAATAAATAAATAATGAATAATACATTGCATGAATAAGTAAATTAAACAAAACAAACAAGATAGATAAATAAGTAAATAAATAAATAAATAAATAAATAAATAAATAAACACAGTAAACAAGCAATAAACAAAAAAATGAATTCTGTGGTTACCTTTCGAACTTCCAAACCAAGACTGGCCGCTGCAGAACAGCTACAAGATGGTATACCCCGTTTCAGCCAGATCGAGGCGCTGGTAGGCGGCGCCCCCCAGGGATCCCATGGAGGCCATCTCGAGGTAGTCTCCCAGCGCGTACATGAAGCCGATCACCGAGAAGACCTCTCGCACACTCACATGCCGCATGCTGTTTGTGTGGGCTTTCAGGGCAGGCAGTTGCTTCAAAGTAGTTTGACATATTTTGACCTTTGGGCCCAGCTTGTACCACAGTGGGTTGACAAATGCAACCCTGAAATCGATCCCTGAACTCAGTTGCGTTTGCTTCAGATGGCATCGATCTCCAGTTTTTGGACTACATGCTAGCCGCCAACCCCCCCAAACCCAACCTTCCAACCCCCTCATCCATCCCGTCCTCGGAACGCATTATACTCCAAGTGGCTCTGTCAAAAGGACAGTTGGGACATTCGGAGTCGGAGATAAAGTCCTTTACCCCAAGCAAAAACAAAAAATGGGATGTGCCAATCTGTTCAGTCGATTCGCCTCAAACTCATGAAGCTGGCCTTCATAGGCTTTGGGTCCCAGATCTTCTTCCACTCCATCTGGCCACCTGACCAGCGGAGCGCTCGCAGCGCGCTCCGCGGCTCCGCTCACCCGGCCACGGGTTCCCAATTGAAACCGCAGCCCGTGCACGCAACGCAGCCTGGCCCCACACAAACAAGCCAACGCAAGTTTGCAAATGGATGCAGAACCAGCGACTTCAGAGGCAGAAAGCCACGTCTTGTTCGCTGATACAGTAAGGAGAGTAGCTGCTAAATGTGTGTGAAATGGTGACCACAGCATTTAAGCGGTGCATCACGAGATGATTTGAGAATCATGCCCAGTCATGGAACATCCCCACCTATCGACAGGCACATGAGCTGCGCGACAATGATTGTCACCACCGTCTCACCCAGCACCACAGTCATGTTGCCATAAGCAAAGAACTTCCTGAAGCTGCCAAGCCAGGAGGATCTGTTCCCCCCAACTTCTGGCACCGCCCAATCAGAAATTCAGAATGGCCCGCTCGAGGCGAATTAGTCGATGAGGGTCCTTGCACAAAAATCGCCAAGAAAAACCGAAGCTCCATCAATGAAATAAGGTCCGGTACTTGCAACCTTCACCCTCCACCACTTCATTACTTACACCAACAAAAAAAACGCAGTAGCCCGCGCAGCACCAAAGAACTGACTTCAGGTCGCCGCAGCGAGATCACTTTGGCTACAACCATTTTGCACCGGGGGGGGGGGGGGGCGAGCGATAAGCCCACATTAACACGATGATTGCTTGTTTGGGGCGGGGTGGGGAGGGGTGGGGTTTGTTGCGCCAAACAATGGATCACTCTTGCACCCCTTCATTTGCATTTTTCCACTCACTTACCTTTCACTGGGAGTGGGGAAAAGCAAGTTCTTCCACAAACTGTTCCTGCTTAAGCGAGAGCGCTTGCCCTTTGCCCGTTCTTGCCCCACAGATTTGCAGGATCTTCCCCAAACGCCGAAGCACTGTTGCATATTCTTGCTGTGCCGACCGCATGTTCAACAGAGCTGCATGCTCTACTCCAAGCGATGGACCACTCTTGCTCCCGTTCATGGCCATGCAAGCTAGAAGGGACCAAGCATGGAATCCAAAGCTAACGGCGGCGCCACCACCGGAAGGAAACATACTCATGGGCCATGACACATTGCACTGACGTTGGTCTCCTTTTAGCCCCGAGCCCCCGAACCACGTGCCGCAACCAAGACGCTTGCCAGTCTCTGGGTCCACACCTAGGCAGAACGCTCTAGGGCGACACGATGCGGCAGGGGGTCCTCAAATGGGCGGGGGGGGGGGGGGGGAGGAGCTTTGAATTTCACTAGCCCATTGCCCGGCAAGCTGTTCCCGGCCCCAGAAGAAGGGGAACTTGACATGGAGAAAGGGACCTGACTCAGCATTGAATGACATACGAGGTGTGCCTCTGAATGATAGAATCCGAAGATGGGCGGCTTCCCTTTGAATTCCTGATTGAACCACACACAAAAAAAGGCACCCTCCAAACGACATACCCGTATTTTGGCAGAAGTCGGACATCCCCAATCCCTGGCCTGGCTGAGGGGCCAGCCCGCCAAAATCACCCGTTCAAGGAAACATGTAATTAAAGCCTTTCCGGCTCCATTCTGCTGGGCGGGAGGGTAGTGCTTTAAGCGCGGCTTTGTGGGGGCCTTTGAAGGCACGCATGACAGGGTCGCCACCGTCAGTTTGCTCCAACCCCCCTTTTGAGACAAATATATTTTGTGTATACATATATATATATAACCATACTTACGCCCAAAACGAAATCACATTTTGAGGGGGCCCGGAGCTGTCAGGTTGGTGGGAAAGAGGGCACTTCTTTGAAAGGCTGGTGCCCCTCGAACGGACTCCTCAATACATCAAAAAAACAGAAACGCCTTTGCAAGGATCTCCTAAAGCAAGTGGTTTGACTGCATCCTTGAGACCCCCGAACCCTGCAAACCTCTGCTCCAAGCTCGCGGCTCTTGGATGCATCGATGATGGTTGGGTGCACTGCCCTGGTCAGCACCTGATCGATGCGTGAGACGCGCATCGACCCCCGCAAGCTCCACTCACAGCCAGCGAGCCCAGCGACCCTGGGCCTGCTTCACCAGCTAAACCGCGGCTGGGACGGCGTTCCGACGGCGTTCTGAGGCGCCCTCCAACCGCCTGAGCCCCGCGCAAAGAAGACGAAGAGTCCCGCTTTGGCGGCGTCCGACGGCCCTGAAGGCTTGAGATCCTGGCAAGACATCCGCACTGTGCGACCTCCTGACGTTTTGAAGGGAAGCCACCCCCCACCCCCCACCCCCCACCCGAACAAAGCAACTGCCTGCGGGTCTTGCTCCAATGGATGCATCATCAACACGCACACACACTGGTATATGCATCCATATAGACTATGTTACACTATCTGGGAATATGTAATATTAGATAATATGCGTATCAGTGCATTCAGCTGATGGAATATAAGCACCAAACGCAGCTTTATCACAGGGGCCGGGCTCTTCGCTATTTGTGGTCCAAACTGCCCCACATGAAACAGAGTGTCTACAAGAACGAGTGCTACTAATATGGATGATACCTGGGGCAAGTGATGGCTACCTAAGTGTGAATCTCAATTGCGGACCTCACTGCCGTAGGCTGGAAGAAATCCCATGTTTTTTGCATCTGGAAAGGTAAGAGAAACCAAGGTCAACCCAACCAACTGGTGAAATGGTGCAATCAGGGATCAACTGTTGCAACATGCCCAACTGGCCGAAGTAAACATGACTGCTCCCTTGCGACTTGGCATGGAACCCGGCAAAAACCGGCATATGCAACGAGGAATCTCTTCTTGGGACATGGACGGCCCCTTTTTTTTCGGGATTCTTCCGCCTTGAACTCCTGGCCGGTGTGGGGCTTCCTCGGGGCTAGGGCTGAGTTCTGGTCATGGTGCCTGTACTTGCTCAGTGGATTGAGCTCCCAAGTACCGAAGTACCGACTCCCCAAATTCCATCTTTTCGGGAACCCAGAAACGGGTTCCATGCCCTACTCGCAGGACTGCCAAGACGCAACCGAAAAGCGCGAAAGCCAGGGCGCAAAGAGAAAAGGTTGCAGATTTGCAGGAGGAACTCTACAAACTGAAACTGGGGTCCTTGTTTCCAAAACTGGGGCTTCCGTTCTTGTCCAGAAAGGTTTGCGCGCAAACTGAGACATTCAAATTCGCTCCTAGCACACGCGCGGCTTAGCAAACAAACTGGAACATAGAAGGCTGAACTCTAGTGTTATCCCTCAACATTCAGTCCATCCAGTCCCTCTTAACCAGACTGGCCCCGATCGACCAGTACCCCACAAACAAGATGCCCTGATCCCAGCATCTCAAGTGCTGAGCTCGCCACTCCGCCGCCTTTGGCGCCATGACCAGCTACGAAACGTGGAGCTTTGTCAAGACTTGGCGACCAAACGGCTGCGTCCGCGCGCCGAGGTGCTGCAACGGGCCCATGGTCAGCATGTATCCACCAAACGTTTTCCGGGACGGCCAAACGGGCCAAGAAAGTGCTTTGCCGGTGGAGGGGTGTTGACATGTTGACAAACCGGAGTTTTTTAAAAGCATTCACCAAAACTTTAGCTCCAAACGGGAGTTTCCCGTTGGTCTGGTTGGGTCCGGCAAGGCCAAGTTGTATCTTCTAAGGAGCCCTGACCAAAACTTGCTGCTTGAAGCCGTGAATGCCCTCTCAGAAATGGCCAAGTGGCAAGCACGGAAGCTTGCCCGCCTCCTTTTGTGTTGCCTGGCGGAAGTTCGCCGCCTCGGCCAAGGATGATTGCAGCAAGCGCTCCACTGCTCCAAAGATCCAGGGGCGCCTGCTTGACCTCACTTTTTTCCCTTTGGTGGTCCAAATGGGGGGAGATCCCGAATCCCAATCCGCAACCCATGGTGGGCCATCGCTACACAAGGGAAACTACCACAGTTTGTTCATAAGGATCAAGGGTTGACTTTGAACAACGTCGCATTGTACAATAGCTTGAAGCTGCTAAGCTGTTGCATGGCATCCTTATGAGCTACATGCCTCATGGCTTTAAATCTTTGCAAAAAGGACAGGTCTTGCCCAACCAAGCCCAACTGTGAGTTTGCTACAGGTTCTAGACTCCAATTTCGGAGCATGAACAACAAGCATATGTCGATACCTCAACACTTGCTTTTCGGCCGATTTGGAAATGAATCGCGAGGTTTGGGGGGGGGTCTGGTACAACAGGCTTCTTTCCAATATTGTCAGAACAATTTCAGGGGTCCCTGACCAAAATTCAACCGGCTTGCTCCTTTTTGCTTCAATTGCATGGAGCCTTGTACCAACCTGCCAATCCGCATGGATCACATGCCCAACCCTTCACGTCACTCCATCCACCCCTACCCACCCGTCACCGCTCGCCTGCACCATTGCCTGGAGCAGCGGGTCCTCCTGCTTCGAAACCCTCGTCACGAGTCATGCCTAAGGGAAACCGACGCCAAGCAAAGGCGAGCACCACTGGGAGCCGGCCTGGGCACAAAGAAACATAGAAACCCACCGCCCGAACTTGGACACTCCAGGTTGGTGATTTGGAGTTGCTGTGTGCGAGCTGGTCAGGGCTGCTTCCCTGCGGTGGGATGCTGATCGCGCGGCTCGGGCTGTTGCCGACTGTTGCCAGGATACTGCAAAGCCACAAGTAGAACCCAAAAATGAGATCCGTGTCCCCATTGCCAACCTCCAGGCTGCGCAAGTCGCATAACGACACGTCACAACCCCCCAATCAAGAAGCCTTTCCGTTCAGACGTTCGAATCATGTCCGAAGATCTGCCGGCTTCCAGCCTCAGCCTGCTGCAACTAGGAACTGCCTTCCCACTTCAATGCAACACCCAGGTGTTGACAGGGCGCCTTTCGAAAGACTGAGCATTCAAAGCTTGTTGTCGCACCTCCATAAATATCGTCCCCGTTGCACATTGGTTGAGCTGTCGCTGAAACATCTAGCCAAGTCAGTACAGAATAATATGCTCCTCCACCCTGCAACATTCACGGAAGCCGACACAAGGGTTTTGCAGAACTATGGCCATGGGTCAGAATCCAAATCGTCACCCCGTGAACATCCGATTCAATCCAACCACTCAAATAGCTTGGCTAAAATGGGTGGTGAATTCACCTACCCACCAAAGTGGGATCCCATTGGCTTGACCCAATGGCCCTGTTCGTCTTTGTGGAAGCCGCTGCATCCGAAGATCCGGCGGCTCGACTCGACTCAACCGCGCCGCTCCTTGGTTGGCAGCGCCAAGCCAGGCCCCGGCACCCGGAAGGAGGTCTTGTAGGAGTTGCGCAGGAGACCTCGGCGATCGAAGCGGAAGCCGCGCAAGCAAGCAACTCCGGTGGCCTGTCGCATTCTCACTCCATTGGATTTAAAACTGAGAGCAGACGGCAAAAACTGAGCCACAATTGTTCTCACAGCTTCTGCCAAACCAAGACCTGCCGAATGCAACAGTTCCTTCCCCTCATCGTGTACCTTCCCTTCCCTTGCTTCCTGCCCTTCCCTTCTCTCCTTCCCTCCCTCCAACCCTCCCAACCCTCACTTCCTTCCCTCTCCGTCCCCCTGCCCCTCAGCTCCCCAAAGGCGCCCAAGAAGACCCCGGGCAGACCCGCCCTAGACCCCGCCTTCCACACGGTTCGAGGCCCCGATGGCCACAAAGAGCTGCTGGCACACCTCGTGCAACGCGCTTCGTCGCCAAAAGCCGCCCCCAGCAGTCATAGGTGTCCTCTTAGGGGAAATCGATGGGTTTCTCCGGTAGATGATTAAACCACCAGGTAAACCAGGAATCGCCCTCTACTTCTTCAACCGAAACAACCAAGAAGGACACCTATGGCGGCAGTGCTGACGGAGAGAAGTCGGTCAAAACAGGCGGCGTCCCTCCCCAAAAAGGTGTCCCCACCCCAGACCCCAATTGAATACTGAAGGGATATAACGGCCCAGCCTGGTCTGGGCGCATCAAGAACCGCGCGGTCGGGTCCAGCATCCTGGCGCGGTCGAAGATCCGCTGACCAAGCAGCTGCACAAATCTCGCTGGTTCATTGATCTCCTAATGTGGGGTGGCGCTATGTGGTGCTATGTGGTGCTTCTATTGGGGCCCACAAGTGTTTGCAGCACGTGTCATAAACCCATCTAAACTCAAATCTTTAAAAAGTCTAAGGGCCTGGCTGGAACTGCCAAGAAATGGACATCTTTTAGGGGAAAGGTTGAACATTTGCGTTGGAGACTTAAAAGTATGAAGATCCGAACATGGCTTTGGAGATGTGAAATCGTGAGACGTGTGGCGCGTAAGGTTCAACGTGCTCGGAAGTAGCAAGGGCTAGACATGATTCGTTCTTAGATTCAAACACGCGCTTGAAGATGTCCAAGGTTTCATACTCAATAGTTGCGATGTGCGCCTTGTGAGCTTGAAGAACCAGCATGCCCTACAGAAGCCATTCCTGTTTAATTTCTTGCTTATGGAATGAAATCCATAAGTGGAGCACTTCATGTTTTGATTCTCCTGACGAGTTTGGGACAAGTGATGCCAGCAAATGCGAAAACAAAAACACATGAGCCCCTTGCCAAGACACACACACACACACTCGTCAAGGCTTACATGTCACATCCCGGAAACAATCCAGGATCAATTCGCAACACCTGCTGGCAGGCCATAGCTGCAGCAACATGTGTTTGAGACCTGTATTAGCAATTAGGAACAAACAATTTGGCGATAAGTTCGAGTCAACACAGACAAACCAACTAACATGGCATTTTGACCATCAGGCAGTTGCACAGGCGACTCTCCCCCCCCTCCCCCCCATAGAAACAGAAAACTGGCGACGCCTCTGCATCTGTTCTTTGGTCATCTCAGGCGGCACTGGCCCGGAAGCCGGTGGCTCGCCCCACTTGGGCGGATCTGGGATCGTGGGCATCATGGTGTACCTGCGTGACATTGAGTAAATTCCCCCCCTCTTGCAAAAACGCCGAGAACGAGATTTAAGACGAATAAGGGTCCTATGAGTTTTCACGGTGGCACTTGGGCCCGGCGTGTTGTCCAGTGTGGGTCAAATGTCTTGCAATAGACCCGTATGCTCGCCCTGGAATTGCCATGCTCGTGAAAAGCAAGTTGACAGGGACTAGGAGCTGTCGACCAACAGCGACATGCACATGTTCACCTCGACCTGTTAATAAAATATCTGACTCAATGTACAGGAGCAGCATTCCTTGGGCAAAGCTGTGCAAACAATTCATTGGCGGAATCCCACGCGCGCTTTGCACTGTATGCAAGGCTGTCCATCGCACACATATCGACGAGCATGAAGAATGACAAAGGGGTTCAGTCAAGTTTCAATAGAGACATGACGCCCGGCTGAGACAGAAAGCCAAACCCCACATGTCCGAAAATACTTCCATGCTGCGGTGCGCCCAGAAAAATAAATATGCCTGTCGCCTTCCCCCCGACCCACCACCTCCTAAAGGAGGTTTAAACCGCCAACTCCATCCCCTGGCCCTTGGGACTCGAGGCCGCGGCGTGGGTGGCATGGTGGGAGACAGCTGCCCGAAGGCGGGCTTTGGCAGCGCTCCCGCCAGCACCGCCGGAGGCTGGTCTGGCACGCACGGCGCGCGCACGGCAAAGGGTGCAGGGGCAACCCCGTGGTTTCGGAGAACCAATGCCCAGGGACACCGTGAAGAAGCTACAAGCAAGCAAGCGCTTGGACATTCTGAAGACACGCCGTGCGCGTGTCTAATCTAAGAGCGGCAGGTCAAATCACATGAACCAACCCAGCCAGGCCATTTGAGAAATATTGATCATCACTCTTATTGTACCTCTGGGTCAATCAAGCGGAACCTCTGGGCTGACTTCTGGTAGGCTTCTCCCAACCCTCTCACCTGCAGGCGGCGGATCTGGGATGTTCCGCAGCGCAAGGCCGAACAGCTTTCCTGGGTGCCAGCCAAGAAGTGGCCAGAGCCTCCTATGTTTCCCCATCCCTTGATAGATGTGGACCTCAGTTGATGAGGATCCCCTTTGAATTACTTCCACCAGGCCTCTACATTCCCAACACAAGGAAACTCACAGAAAATGTTGTTTGGAGGGGTGTGAACCCAAACCACAACAGTTGAACTACGGAGATTGCTGCACCAGCCCCTTTTCCCCAAAATCTGGGTTTCCACAAAAGGCTTTGTGGCTGCCAGAGGCTTCACCCAACTCCTCCAAGCGTCCGATGCCAATGCAAGTTCGCTCCGTCCAGTCAGGACGGCCTGGAAGAAAAGCAAAGGGATCTAAGCACCTAAACAACCAAAAACAAGCAACCAAATCCCATCCCCTTCTGATTCCCTGCTTGGGAAAGTAACAATGCTTAGCAATTTGGCATTCAGAGTACCTGGTTGCCCCAAAATTGATATCTAGATCCGTATGGGGCCCCCTGGATGCAGTCAGGAGCATGCAGGCAAAGCAATGCAAAGTTCCTTCCATTCTTTTCGCAGGCGAGGGTCTCTCACTCCGTGTTCCCCTTTGGGGTTGACTTGTTGGCATTGTGTTGTGCTGCAAAATCGGAACAAGCGGGCAGCTTTTGCCGCTGAAACCCAGCAACTTGCACAGACCTGCGTGTTAAAAGTCAATGTTGCCGAGCGGCTGGAGGAATCCACCACCAAATCTATCAAGCACTTCCATCCATCTTCAACTGAACTCCCCCCAACTGCAAAGCAGGATTCCCCCCACCCGCCGTGAAACCCGCCGCCATACGTAGCACGCAGCGGTTGAAAGGTAAGCCCGGCCCAACGAAATCGGCCGTTTTGAATCGAAGCTGACAAGCTGAGCCTTTGGCTAGTGAGTCTCAATTTGAGAAACAAGCCCCCATATTTACATATTCATCCATGGTACACACAAACAACACGGGACGTCCCAGGCGGCAAACACCCATCAAGGATCCAATTCCCCCTTGGCAGTCAGATAAACTGACAAAGCTTCCTGGCCACTTTCTGGGAGTTGTCAGCTTCGGAGCACATCTTAGATGTCCTTGCTCCGTGTGCGCGTCTTCGACGCCAAGGTCTCCACCAGCAAGGATACATCCTTCTTCATGTCGAAGAGCTCCGATTCGACAAAACTGCTAAAGTGGCCCTGGTTCCTGGCCAACTGCGACCCATCCAAAGCTTGGGTCTGGTGCGCAGAATCGAGAAGAAACGCCTCACCCCTTGCCCTCCCCACAGACAAACACATATACGGATCGACCGGGAGGCAACACTTGTGACGTTGAGAACCCTTGCATTCCAAGATCTGCCTCCTCCTCTGTTCCCATCCAAGGACTTCACTCGCTGACTCGCGCCCGTCCTGATGAGCCAGGAGACGTCCTGAATCAGCTTCGCAACCTCCATGGCTCGCGCCTGCCCGCGCAGCCGGAAGCAACCCATGAGGAACTCCTGCAGGCGGAGAAAAAACAAAAAAATAGAAGAACAAAAATGAAAAAACGCCGGCCGCCCAGGTTTTTGCCGTCACAAGGCGAGTTGCTGAAGTTGAACTGTCTTTTTGGTGAAAAATCATGAAATGGTGGGGTGGGTCAAGCGCTTCAAAAGTTCCAGCAGCTCAAAACCACCAATTTGACGTTTACAGAGAGTGAACATACTCCTCTTGAGCTGGAACACGGGCAAGCGCAAGGAGCCAAGAAGCCCCAACCAAGACACAACAACTGCCGCACACACCCTCGAAGCGCCAAGTGCAAAAAAGGCCGTTTAGCCGATGAGGGCCGCCCCATACATCATACAAATCACAAATCCCTTCCACCCACAACCCATGCGCCAGGGCGAAGGTTGTTTGCTAGGGAAATCCTTCCTACCCCAGGTTCTGGTGACAGTACTACAACAAAATGAACCAATACAAACCTTGACGATCCCTCTGGTTGTCCTTTAGTGCATCCAGAACTGTCCGATTTTTTCGGGACTTTCAACCTCCCCCCCACCACCCACCCAACACCAGCCCCCCACCCACCCCGGATACTCGTTTCGAATTCGACCCCTCCTCCGCCTCCACGGCTCCCCCCGCGTCCAGGTCCAAAAGCTTAAAGAAGGTCCAGGCGTCCCAAATGTCGAGGCCCAATGACTCGAAGTACTCCCGCACCGCCGGACACCCGATCTTCTCCTCTCGCTGGGCGGTTGGGCGCTCTGACCCTTGCTCCATATGACTCCATATGACACGAACATGCAAGCATATGCACAAAATGCTTGGTCGTGCATGTAGATATATCTATATGTATACACATGTATGTATATATTGTTATATATGTATATATGGTTATATGTGTGTAATACGTGTATAGTGCATGCGCAAATTCAAAGATGCGCACATATGCCTATACAACAAGCCCCGGCGGCATGCCCAACAGCAACCACTTGAACCCTTCGGGATTTTTAGCGTCTGAGTGCCTCGAACATTGTGTATGTGATCACGCCATCGTCCGCGCCGATCTTTCCGAAAAGGTCGTGAATCTTTTCGAGGTGGGCCTCGCGAGAACGAGGCGCAACATGCGCAGGTATCAGCAAACCCTTCTTGAAGCAGAAACAACAAGAAACAAAAAGCACTTTGGAAAATAAACCAGGGCGACCTTCTGCCGCAGAAAGTCCCAACCCGAACCCAGCGGCGGTTGGCTCAGGGCCCAGTTGACTTGCTACGGGCTGCCTCCTTGTCCGCGAGAATGGATTGCACCACAGTGGTCTGGTCGTTCTGAGCACTCTCTATCCTGGGAAGTAGGGTGTGCCACCCCAACAAAGTGCAAGCAAAGCGACACGATTCCTAGTAACAAACCACTACTTTGAAAAACATGCGTTCTAAAGTCAAAAAGTTGACTAAAACAAGTCAAGCGACGCCGACTGACAGAACACCCCCGTCACCTCAGTAAAGGAAAAGCAAAGCAAAGACGCGCCAAAACGAAAAAAGACCCGGGGATCCGGGTTGGGAACGGTTAGCCCCGCAACCAAATGCTGATTTGCGGACTGGGCTGCCACGTTGAGCACGGCGAAGTACGTGAAAGACACCTTGGTCGGCTTTGGACCCCGGCAGACATCAAACGCGTTGCTGGCTAGTTGGGAGAATACTCCTGTTCCGAAACACGAAAGAAGGTTCAGGACCAAAGCCAACCAAGACACATAGAAGAGGAAGAGGAAGAGCCACCAGGTAGAGATAGCCTGCAAGAGATCCGACGTCCAGTTAAAATTAAATTCACAGCTACGACGAGAAGCGAAGGCTTAATTCATTGCGGCTGATCTTGAATCTTGAGCAAAAGGGCAATCTTTCTGGGAGTCCAAAAGCGGCGCTCCTTTCGTTTTCAAGTTTGGAAGCCCATGCGATCCAGGACTCCGGGACCCGATCCGGGAGACTGGCCTGCAAGGGCGCCATCACGTCCTCCCAGCCCACGCCGTTGCCGATGGTCATGAAGAGCGCCAGCATGGTATCCGGCAGCGAGGAGAAGTAGCGCTCGCAGGCGAGCAGCTCCCGGTCGCTCAGCTCGGTACTGGTGGGGTCCATGATGTAGTCGTCCACCGTCTGGACGAAGATGATGGAAAACACATACCTCACACATAGTCACGTCTACGGCACATGGCGTCCCCAAATCCCCCAAACGGCCCTCACGTCGTCCCGTCTATGGCAAAGGGCTTCCCAAAATCCCGAAAACGGCGGCTGAAAGGAGGTCGCTGATGATTTCCCTGCATTCGGTGGGTCATAAGGTGGCAACAAAAAGGCCTTCGCCTTTTTGAACAACCCTTGCGCTGGTGCCCGCGGGGGCTCCACCGGTGAGGCATATCAAAATGCAACAAACAAAATTAAGATTGTGCCCTTTGGGACCCTTTCCACGACTAAATATCTACACGTACTTAATGATACACCTGCGCCCACAAACAAAGCTAAAAGACAAATTTATTCTAGGATTGTAAAGGGATCCTTTGGGTGCCATGTTAGCTTCTCATTTGAGGGCCACGACTTTTTCAGCTCGAACCCACAAGGGCGCTAAGATGCACAATGATCAGCAGGAGGATCAAGGCCCAGAACAGGGACTTCAGCGTGTGGAAGATCGAGGTGACCAGCGTGCGCAAGGCCATGATGAACCGAAAGATCCGCATGAGTCGGACCGCCTTCACTATGCCTCAGCCCGGCCCTGGGAAAACCTTCGGCGCCCTAGGTAAAACGGATGATTGCAATGGAAAACCCCAAACCCGCCAAAAAAAATGCCACTGGGCAACTGGGATGCGGGTAAGCCGGACGATCCGGAAGGCCTTTACACTGGATAGGCCCCCCACGCCGGAGACCCGGGCCCCATCTGTAACTGCCTGGAGCGTGTCAACCACCACTTCCCAAATGGAGGTCGCAACGATGAACAAGTCCAGCCACGACCACATCCACTCCTCGTTGCAAAAGATCCTCGGACCACCAGCGCCTACCCTCAGCACCAGTTCGGCCGAGAAAAGGAGCGCGTAGACATACCTCTTCAGGGCCACGCGGTGTCAGTGCCTCTCACTGGGAACATCTACAATCACTCACTCGTCTACCTGGGAGACGTCTGGAATACCCCTTTGTTTAGAGGAGCGATCCAGCTTCGCGATGAGGGACGAACCGGATGCGGCGTGATGCATGTCGACGCTGTCTGATCCAAAGTAAGGGAGGGCAACGTGGCTGCATCCAAGGTTGCGATATGTGTCTCTCTGTGGCAAGAAAGCTGTTATCGAGACCCAGGTCACCCAATCGATCCAAATGACAAGAGCGAGATTGTGATCTGCGAGCCTATGACGACCTTCTTGAATGAGGCAAGCGGCAAGCGGCATTTCGCTGCAGGTAGCAAGAAGCCGGGCAGGCAGGGACACTCCGGACAATGCTGGCATATCCTAGATCATCTTAGCCTTTGCCAGCTGACCTACTGAAAACAGTGGGATTCCCCTGCACCAGTGACAACCCCGAGCCGGCAAATAGCAAGCTTGCCAATTGGCGGAAGGTTTTTTGTTTCCAGGTTTGGCGGGGGCGGTCCGGAGTCCCGACCCAGAAAAGCACAGGGTTCACTTTGTCGAAGTCGTTGTTCAGGGCGGGTTTGGGCCGGGCCTGGGTTTCTTTAGGGTAGGTTGTTGGTTGGTTTAGGCTGGTTTAGGGCGGGCTTAGGGTGTGGGTTTGTGGTGAAGGTTGGTGTCGGGTAGGTCAGGGCAGCTTTAGGCTGGGTTAGGAATCATGTAGTGCTGGTCTGTATTGATTTAGGGTTGGTTCAGGGTTGGTTTCGGGTGATTTA